GACACCATCCACGGCGATGGATTGAAGAAAGAAGGTGGTAGGCCGGAAAAACCTGTGGCTGGATTCCTGACACAGCTCAGCTTAGAAAACCTCATGGAGTAATCAGGTAAAATGGCGTCTGGATGACCCGGAAGTGGAAATCATTGTGATGCTGACCTCAAGCGATATGAGTCAGGGTTTCCCTTATATAGGGGAGTGAATTAATTTAAGCCCCTCCCACAAATACAGGCCAAACGGCCTTAATACATATATTTTCCAGAAAATACAGTGCAACATTTATTGTAAAGTGCCAGTTTACAAAGACATCTCCAAAATTCACATGCAATAAACGAATAAATATAGAACTGTTGTAACAACAAAATAAGTTAACTTGTTTGTCATACTAACAGAATAATCACCAAAATGTTTTATAATCTTCCCCTCACAGGGAATTTCTAAAACAAATAGTGTATAAAAAAAACTAAACTAAACACACAGCCCATTAGAAAATATCCCACAAACTGGCATAGCGTTGCCCTTGCCATGCAAGATTATCACCTTTTCGAGATTTAGTATCATCTGTGCTGCGATCTGTGGTCAGCCATTTTGTGACGTATGGTAAAGGATCACAATAATGCTTAGAACAGCTGGGGCTCTACTATTTCCCCATGCTTGCAAGGTTGTATTTAGCACTGAGAAGTGTTTGTGTGTTTGAAAACAAGCATGTTTTTGTATGGAGTATGTTTGTGTGAATGTAGGGGTGTGTTTGTATGTGGTGTTGGTGTTTGAATGCAAGTATGCATTTATGTGTAGTGTTCGTTTTTTAATGCAGGGATGTGTTTATATTTATATATGGTTCATAGATGATATCCTATTGATCTGGCATGGTAATGAGGAAGATTTAAAAGGGTTCATCACACATGCCAAAAACTTGCACTGCTCTGGAGCATAAGGCTATATCTTGGATGTTTAACTTTTTAGAGTAGTTTTTCATTCTGGTCTATTCAATTCCTCATGGATAACTTCCTTGATAGCAGGGTGTAACGGGAATGTGGATCTATTTGTTTTAAGTCAAAGTATTTTCCTGACTCTTTGTCTGATTGCTCCTCTGGAATTCTTAAAGTGTCTGTTATCAGATTAACCAGTTTATTCACTGCTCTGAAATCTAGGAATCTGGAAGAAAAGGTTACCGCATCTTCTTTTCCGATACGTCCTCTAACATACCAGAATCTTCATCCGAATCTGAAGAAATTCTTTCAACTCTAGGACGTTTAGATGAAAGCAATCTTTCCATAGTGGACTTAAAACCTTCGATATCTTCTGAAATCCCCTTTTTAGATCTCACTGAGGAGAATGTCTTTTCTCGCATTCTTCTACAGCATCCGTCAGGCATGCCTTACACAGATTTCTCCCATTAGGTGGCACTTAGTTGCAGTTTGTGCATCTATTGGTCTTTTCTTGAAACTTCATTGTAGAATCGTCTTGCAATCTACATGGGCTGCAAGAGAGGCTAATATACAATATATTATAGTGGTACTCTTTTTTTTTTTTTTTTTTTCAATAAATTATATAGAGGCTCACCTATGTCTTCAAGACTGTGATCTTGAGGCAGATGGAGAAGCCATCTAATAAAACAAATTAACTTAAGAATATAGGAAAGAAAGATAAACATTTTATTTAATTTAAATTTAGGTCTTAAAAGGTTGCCTTTCAGAAGAATAATTCAAGTCTGAGGCAGCTGTTTGTGTGTTGTGTGTGTGTGTGTATATAATGAATGCAGAGTGTGTGTTTGTGTGTGTTTATTTAATGAATGCAGTGTGTGTGTTGTGTGTGTATATAATGAATGCAGTGTGTGTGTTTGTGCAGTGTGTGTAAACTGGGTGAGGGGAGGGCATTTTTATTTTTATTTTTTTATTTTAATATTATATTATTTTAATAATATTATTTTATTATTATATTATTATTATTTTAATATTATTTTATTTTAATAACATTATTTTATTATTATATTAATATTATTTTAATATTTGCATTATTTTTTTTTACATTTTGTTTGTCCCCCCTCCCTGCTTGTTGCCTGGCCAGGGAGGGGGGATAAAAAAAATGCAAATATTAAAATAATATTATTTTATTATTATATTATTATATTATTATTATTTTAATATTTGCATTATTTTTTTTAAAAGGGTTTTTGTCCCCCCTCCCTGGCCAGGCAACAAGCAGGGAAGGGGGACAAAAAACCTTTTTAAAAAAATAATGCAAATATTAAAATAATATAATATAATAAAATAATATTATTTTAATATTATATTATTTTAATAATATTTTATTATTATTAAAATAAAATAATATGAAAATAATATTGAATCCCTGGTGGTCTAGTGGCATTGGCTGTTCAGTGGGGGGGGCTGACAGAGAGCTGTTACTTACCTTCCTGCAGCTCCTGTCAGCTCTGTTCTGCTTACAGTGTAAGTCTCGCGAGACCCAACTCTCTGTCAGCCCCCAATAGGACCACCAGGCTTGTAATGAGCCCGGCGGTCCTGGTCTGTATTGTGACAATGTAAATTGCCACAATACAGACATTGACTCGAGTATATGCCGGAAAACTTGGCTTATACTCGAGTATATACGGTACTTTGAGGCTGAAAAGGCTTAAAAGTACTGTCTTTTTAAATTTAATGGCATTTTGAATTTGGTGCGATGTCTCTTTTAGCACGAGTGCTAGTTTGCGCATGTGCAGAAGGAAATTCCTGATGATTCTGCTACCGCACCTGCTCTAGAGGACACAAAGCAGAAGAACGCGGTGCACCGGCAAGAACACACACTCCTGTGCAGAGCAGAACCGAGGAAAGCAGGAAAACACCAAAGTAAGTGGAAAACACAAGCTTTTCTAGAGAGAGTGAAAGGAAAATGGAGTAAAAATTTAAAACTTACCATGGCTTCTCCTAAAGATCTGCTCACAAGATTTAGGGGGGATTTTGATGCAGCAATGGGAATTTTTAAGGCAATAGCTGACCCCACATCAAATATAAAAACTGAAGCCCATTCCATTAACTTATAGATGAATAATGATTCCCATGTTGCAGTACAGATACTAATCTGTACTTAACTAAGTTAGTCCTGTTCCTACATGCTGATTACTGAGTTCTTCAGATAAAGAGAGAAAAATTTTATTTAGGAAAAACGTTCCTGTATGTCCTGTAATGACAGAAAAAAAGACAGTGGGATAGGAGGATGGACCTTTCACTCCTACAACCTTGTTCTAATTGGTTGATAGTTTTCTGTCCTGTTGCTGTTTGGGGGTGGAGCTACCAATAAGTGATGCTGCTATGATTACCCAGGAATATTAAGAATATATTTTGCAGTGCACTTATAGAAGCATTTTCCCACCATATCGTTCACCAATCAAGTGAGAAAAAGTAACCAATAGAGGGGGAAAAAAATAAGAGGAGCAATCTATGTATATTTATATATCACTTAATTAGGTGGTGACCGCTTTGTAGGTATCTTCGTGGGTTCTCTGGGGCACGAATGTGACCGAGCCCGCTGGGTCCCAAGTGTGTGTCGTGGCTGCTGTTCCCGGACCTCCAGTGGTGAGAGTGTCCCTTGGGAGACCCAGGGTCTCTAGAATAGCTGTCGCTCCCTCGAGGTCCCGGATCGGGTATGAATTGGCCCCCTGTAGGACTGTTAGGGCATGGGATCCTTTCCATCGGTACTGGATGTTTCTTGCTCTGAGCAATGAGGTGAAGGGTTGTAGTGTCCTGCACCACCCCTGCTCCCCGATAGGTCAGTGAAGAAAGTAAGGCTCGAGTTCTCAAAGTTATAGGGTTTTTCCCCCTGAGTGCTCCTAAAACTGCTGTCTTGTCCATCTTTGTGTGAGAACGTACAATTCCCGCAGGGCTGTAGAGGGTGCCTTCGGGGGTCTTGGGATACGGAACATTTCTTCAATGGTCACCGTCTTGGCCTGCTTTGGGGTGAGTATCTCTGTTAACAGCCGTCTCACGCAGTGCGGTATTCTGCGTCTGGAACCGATTCAGCTAGGCCCCTGATTTTGAGATTCTTGCTACGCCTGTAATCTTCCATTGCAGCAAGCCTCTGTTCCGTGGCTGCGTGTTGTCGGTGGAGTGACTGGATCTCCTGTTGCAGGTGTGTTATATGGGCCTTTGTGTCGTGGGAGTCTTTTTCTAGGTTTCCCATCCGTCCGTTCAGGCCCTGCAGGTCTTTGCGGAAAGCAGTCATACCCCCTGGAGGTCCCTCCTTAGGCCTGCCAGCAGTTCTTGCATGTCAGCCTTAGTCACCGGTGTGGAGTCTGGTTTGGTGGTCGCTGGTGCCGGTCTCGGGTTAGGCTCCCGCTGGGCGAGCACGTGGAAGTCTTCAGGCTCCATGAGCTGATCATCCGAGAAGTCGGAGCTCTCTCCCAGGTAAGCGGCCATCTTGGGTATAGAGGCACCATGTGCCTGTTTCCATAAGTCCCCGATGCTGGCACCCGGCTTTGGCTTGTCCGGTTTTTGTTTTATAATCTTTCGACCCATGTTAGCTTGTCCGTTGTCACCCTGTTTTGGGGTTTTAATTGCAGTTTTTGGAGTGTTTGTCACGGAGCGTGAGTTGCATGCAACCGTTCAGTCTTCTCTGCTTCTTTAATAACCAAGGCAACAAAAACCATGAACTGCTGGGCATCTAAATATTACCCAAAATGGTGATTTATAGTTACAGAGTAAAGAAGATAGCAGTTTCTATTAAAAAAGTTTCCATTAGTGGCCCTCTAGCTGTAATACTGCTTCCCATGATATTTGAAAAACTTTTATTCTGAGCCAAATTCTGAGTTGAAACAATTAAAATTCTATGACCCAAATAAACACATTCTATACAAACAATTATATATTTCATTTTCTGGACATGTTTTTGAGTTCTGGCCTTCGACTTGTTTGGATTGATAGCAATACTGATTATGTGAGGGGGTGGTTCATTAATATGTTAAGGTGAGACTGATAAAGCTACAATAAAACCTGTGTTACGTGGCATGAAGACTCCTGTCATCATGCAGGCAGTACTAAGTTTGTTTGTATGCCTGATTACTGCTTCAGTAGCACTTAAAGGTAATATTTTATCCCTTGATTTCTGCCTTCATGTGAAAATGTTATGATAGTTGTAGATATATTAAGGGACATGATTAATGTGTGAGCATGTGGATGGGTGAGACATATAAGGGATCATTAAACTACAGTATGAGGCATAACAATACAATGTGCCAAAAAAGATAGCTGTAAAGTGCATTTAATACCTTATTATATACATAGACCAATGAAATATTACAATTGGGTTGACCTGTATATGATAATATTTGTTCAAGTTGTTGTAAAGAACTCACATTATTCAGAGCTATCTCAGAGCTCTGCTGTATTACACACAGACAATATAATCTCTGTCACAGGGTATATGTAGGTCCAAATGGCAGAAATTCTCTTAATGAGGTAGTATCACCATAACATATAAAAAAGCAAAAGCGCAAAATCTCCAATAGTGAAGTAATGAATAATGAGTGAGTTCTCTTCAGCAAATATTTTCATAGTATCAGACTGTATTACACTATTATCTGTTCTGTTTGGTTCTTTTTGAGGTCAACCAAATTGGAATATTTCATCGTATATAATAAGGTATTAAGTGCACTTTACAAGTATCTGTTCTGCATGATTTGGGAGTCCTTGAATGATTCACTGCTGCCCACATTTGTGTGTATTATAGTGAGCACCTATACACTCTTTTTTTTTTTTTTTTCTTTGTTTGATACAGTATGAGGTATGGATAACGGTGATTGGTGCTTGCGTGGATTTACACCCCACCACCACATCATTAATGTTACCTAACATTTATGTTGAACTCTGCTGAATTTATGAATTCTAGTTTTTGCAACTTGCATGTAACTGATGGGAGCACACAGTGATTGTTACATAAAAAATAAACTCTCAAATGGAGACAAATTGCAGTTACTCAGATATCTGTTTGAAGCCTAGAACCTAGGGATCTAACCAAAACCTTGAGGCCAAAAGTGAGTTAGATAAAGGGAATGGGTAAAGATACAAACAATATCATGTAAATTGAACAAATTGCATGTAGTATTTTGACCCCGAAAAATAATGATTTTTTTTTCTTTCATAGGAAAAGGAAATAATTTAAGATGGATAAATGAATTTGATCAAAATCTTAATTTCCAATGTGTAAATGATGAAAGCATTAGTATGATCACAAGGTATGGATAAAACCAAGGGAGCTACAAGTCACCTTTTTAAAGGAAATCTATCACTGAGTTTAATTTTATAGTTTTACATCATTTAACCTCCTAGACACTTTGCCCTAAGGCGACTGCCTGTGCTGTCCTGCACAACTAGTTTATATGTAATTTAGTGATCGCCCAATCAAAAACCTTTGAAAAATTATTTGTGTTGATTTTGTTGATCAATTGTCCTGTGGCTCTTTCACTAGCTGAAGAACATGTTCTTGAGACATTTTGATAAGTATAACCCCTGGGTTACTTAAGGTTATGAGTCTTATTGGACAGGTATCTGATTATGATGTTAATTAGACATGTGCAATTTGTTTCATTCCAAATCAAATTTCGTCTGAATTCAAAACATCCAAATTGATGGAAAATGGAGCTCAAATGAACAGATCTTCAATTTATCTAAAAAATATTGTGTTGGATCCATTTGTTTTGATAAGAATAGTAAATTAGAGAGTTATCTACTAAACAACTGAAAGCAGAATCAGATATTTCAGCTGTTTAGTAGATAGCTCCCTACCTTAAATATGACAATCCCACATAAGAATAGCAAATTAGGGAGTTATCTAATTCATTTTGATTTTTGAACTAATAACTATGCCTGTGTGGGATAGTTATTAGTATCTCCTTATTGTGCTGAGCTCAGTGTGTTTTCCCTCTGCATTTTACTCAGCTCTACCTGTTGTATGGGTATCCCAGTAGTCTACCCAGCTCTGTGTAATCACACACAGTGATTCCGACTGTGTGGAATATTTACAGTATCTCCTTATTGTACCCAGCTCTGTGTGTTATTTGTGTGTTATTTCTTTCCTTATCTGTTCAATCTTGTCAGTAAAGTAGCAAGCAAGACTATCAGCTGTAAGGTTATTTTTGGGGGTGGCCACAGCAGGGCAAAGAAGAGAGTTAAAGGTATCAAAGAGACGCCTGGGATTGTGGGAGCATGAACCAATAAGAGAAGAAAAGTATGACTGTTTGGCAAGGGCAAGGGCTGTGCTGTATGAACGCAATATGAATTTGTAGTGTAGAAAGTCTGACTCGGTGTGAGACTTCCTCCAGCAGCGTTCAGCAGAACGAGAACATCTTTGCAGGTAGCGTGTTGATTTAGTGTGCCATGGTTGGGGGCTTGTCCTCCTTGCGGTGTGTATTTGGAGAAGGGCTGCAGGGCTGAGGTGAGGGTAGAGTTATATGAGGAGATAGCCAGTGAGGGACATGAGTGAGCAGGAATGGATAATAGTTGGGAATTGATATCAGCTGACAGCTGCTGGAGGTTTATAGAACATATATATATATATATATATATATTACACACAATACATGGCACAATGACTTATGGCTCTGGCATAGATTGTTTTTTTTTTCTCCAGGGCTGCTTTGTATGCCCAGTCCGGCCCTGGGTGTCTAGTACCATCTTAAAACTTCACCAGCAATCTCTGCCTGTAGATGAAAGTAAGGGGCTATAAAGGCTCATTGATGCACATGAGGAGCAAAGGCTAGCCTGTTTGGTAAAGTCAGACATAAGGGCTATTGTGGCTCAAATTGCTGGAAAACGTAATGCTGGTCATGGCAGAAGGGTGCCAGAATACACAGTGCATCACAGTTTGCTGCATATGGGGCTGTGTAGCCATAAACCAGTCAGAGTGCTCATGATGATCCCTGTCCACTGCCGAAGTGCATTCAGTGGGGATGTCGGCATCAGAACTGGACCATGGAGCAATCAAGGAAGGTTGCCTGGTTTCATGAATTATGTTGTCTTTTAGATCAGGTGGATGGTTGCACGCGTGTGCATCGTTTACCTAGAGAACATATGGCAGCAGGATGCACTATGGGAAGAAGGCAGGCCGGTGAAGAAAGTTTTTTATGCTCTGGGCAATGTTCTGCTGGGAAATCTTGGGTGTTTGCATTCATGTGGATATCACTTTGACACATACCACCTATCTAGGGCTTGTTTCAGACCATGTACACCCTTTCATGGTAGTGGTGTTCCTTGATGGAAGTGGCCTCTTTCAGTAGGATAATGCACCCTGCAAAAATATTCAGGAATGGTTTGAGGAACATGACACAGGGTTTAAGGTGCTGCCTTTGCTGCTAAATTCCCCAGATCTAAATTTGATTGAGCATCTGTGGACTGTGCTTGAAATACAAATCTGATCCAAGGAGGCTCCACCTTTCAACTTGCAGGACTTATAGGATCTGCTGCTAATGTCTTGGTGCCTGACACCACAAGCCATATTCTTGTGGAGCCAATGCCTTGACTCATCAGAACTGTTTGGAGGCACAAGGGGGACCTACACAGTATTATGCAGGTGGGTTTAATGTTGTGGCTGAACAGTGTATACAGCAGACATATTTCTGGTCCCAAAAGCAGCATTTCAAAGTCTGAATCTTTGAAGTTGGTGATTCATCGGCTACTGCAAGAATGGGTCATGTGGAACCCTTACCTTATTGTGAGATTTAGTAGTAAGGTAGTGAATCATCATATTACATACATATAGGAAGATTCATGTAGTCTCATGAGATCTATCCCATTGGGATGTCTGTGCACTATTCATTTTAAATTGCTTTGCTTCTACATATTTATACTTGTACCAAATGAATATTTCCTTTCTGTAAACGTCCCCAGTGTCCATGAAAACAAGCATGAGGATCGAAGATGGGCCTTCAGGTGTAAGAAAACATTTAGCAATTCTGGGAATTGTAACTGGTCTGGTTACATCAATAACTTTGATGAAGAATTTGAATTCACTTGCCCATTTGGCTCGGTCCTGAATGGTATGAGCAGTTATCATGATAATAAAAAGGAGGACAGAAGGTAATTTTGGCGTTTTATTTGAAATGGAAAATGCATTGTGAGTCCAGTTGCTGTAGGACAGGGGAAAAGTAAGATTTACTTACCTCAAGCTGTCCCCCCCAGCTGCGTTCATCTTCATCTTGCAGGTCCTCATCTGCACCTGGTGCTTAAATTTGCCATGAGACATGTCAGTGCAGAATTCTCGCTCATGACATGTTAACGTTTGTCAACCTCAGGTTGATTGCAGCCCCTACTTTGTCTTGTGGTATCTTTGGATTGTGTTGGAATTTCAGCAAAGTTCCAGTCTTGATCAGTATTTAATAAGGAATATATATTTATAAAATACTTGGAAGTGACACTAATATTAGTCATAGTAATATTATCCATATAGCGGCAGCATATTTGCAGAGGATCCAAACAGTGATTAAAAAAAATACAACAAACGAGAAGCAAGTTAAAATGAACACAAACAAGAAGTGAAACAAGCCCTGCTTGCATGCACTTACATGTTTCAAAGATTTCAAAAAGATTGATTTTAAAGGGGAACTGTTAAGTAGTTTCTGGTATGTATACCATGGAATAAAAATATTGAAAATCACAAAAACATTAAAAAACTCAGCAAATAATCTAATAAATCAATTCACAAAATTCAAAGCATCATACAGGCACACACACTTTTTTTTCTGGATTGTGCTTTGAATATTAGGAGTGTGCAACTCCCTCTCTGTGGAGCACCAAGCATGGTGTTTTGAGTTGGCTCTATACAAGATAAACCAATTGAGACACCGAAAAACTTGGGCAAATTATGCAAATTAATAGAAGATATATAAATATTGATTGAAAGAGAGCTAAGTGGAAGCTTACATCTGCAGGATAAAGGGATATGTAGATTTAATTTTAAGATCTACAAAACATACTTTTTATAGGGATAAGTAAATATAATATAAAAAATCTAGAAAGGTGGCATTTTGCATTTAAACACAATTAAAAGCAGAAGTCACGCATGTGTAAATATGTTATTATAAAAGTAATAGTATAATCAGGTGGCTGCAATCATTTAATAATCAGATGCTTAACTTTTATCTAGGTGGAATTTTTTATGCTGTTTGGGAGAAGTACAAGTTGTTAAGAAGTGCAAGTGGAGTGACTATGTTAATGAATTTGACGAGTACCTGAGTTGGGAGGCACCTACTAATCACTATCTGGTGGGAGCAAGCAGTTACCATAATAACAAACGGGAGTAAGTATCCAATACCAGAGCTTGGGATTCCTACATTATAGTGTGTTGACTCATTAAACGACACAGTGTTCTTTATCTAGCCTTGGTCAGGCTGCGTGCTCATAATTCTTTTCGAGGTAAAAAAAAGAAATTGTTGTGCTAAAAGCTTTTGTTCCTTTGTTTAAACCTTTAAATCAAGGAATGACCAAAGGCAAATCCCCAGTTGTTGCAGAACTACAAGCTCCAATATGTTGCCAGTCTTAAGGTTTCCAGTAGATGTTATTTGCATTAGGAGATACGCCTCACAACGTGGTCAGGTGCATATTCCTCCCACCTGCTTGTCCTTAAGTTGTCCATAACTAGTTGCCAATGTCCAGCAATTATATATAAAAAAAAAAAAAGTTAAATGTGAATCCTTTGCCCTTTTGCACTTCTGAAATAACATTTGTTTAGCAGACTTATATAGCCAATTATCATATATAGTATAACAATTTCACACTTCATGTTACAGAAAGACAATGCTTCATTCGACATAATATATCTTAAAGGGACACTCCAGGCACCCAGATCACTTCTGCCCATTGGAGTGGTCTGGGTGCCAACTCCCACTACTCTAAACCCTGCAAGTGTAATTATTGCAGTTTTTTATAAACTGCAATAATTACCTTGCAGGGTTAACTCCACCTCTAGTGGCTATCTGCTAGACAGCCACTAGAGGGCACTTCCTGGGCACTAGCACAGACGTCCTCACTCCAGCGTCACTCATTTCCCCATAGGAAAGTATTGAAATGCATTTTTAATGCTTTCCTACAGGGAGCGCTAATGCGCATGCGCGGCATCGCCGCGCTTGCGCTTTAGGTCTCCCAGGCCGGTGGGTGGGATCAGTCTCGCCCACCGGCCGACGCAGTCAGAAGGAGGAGCGGCGCGGAGGAGCGGCGCGGAGGAGGAAGCAGCGACGAGGGACATCGTCGCTGCCTCAGGTAAGTTACTGAAGGGGTTTTCACCCCTTCAGCAACCGGGGATTGGGGAGTGGGAGGGAGCCTGCAGTGCCAGGAAAACGGATTGTTTTCCTGGTACTGGAGTTTCCCTTTAAGTACATTCTGTGTAATGCGATTGAGGCAGTCTATTTAGCACTAAAACTGAAGAAAATATTGCAAAATGTGATGCTTATGTTCATAGTGCACGTTTAATGGTTGCTGATAAAGTTTTCAAATGGTGAGAAACTAGTTGGCAACCAGGAATATGTCTTTCACAAATTCTTTCAATTCTTTTTTGCAATTTCTACCTGTACAAATTACTTACCTATCTTTCCCACCTTTATTTCTTCATCATTTTTCTACACCTCTTCTTTTTGTCTTTTCCTTTAGCTTTCACCTTACTGCAAGTTTTTGCTCACACTCACACACCTTTATTCGTATTTTACTCGTTGCATGGACAATCTAGAAATTCTCTCTCAATGCCTTCCAATGATCAGTTCCTGAGTCATCAAACTAATTACTTTCCCATGCTTTTTCACTGTTAACATTCTTATTGTTGGTTGAACCAGATCTTCTGGGCATTCTTATGCTACCTGTTGGGTTACTATTTATATTCTTCAAATAAATCTTATTGACTACAAATGTATACTAATGTCAAACCCATTACAGAGACTAAGGAATACTATGGCGGAATATAAACATGTATTCTTTAACACTATAGTGACCAACTACCTATTTAAGTGTCCAGTCCCCCTCAGAATGGAGTTAACTTTGCTCCATTGCCGGGCTGATCTCGCTGCGGCTGGGCCCCCCTTCCATGGTTGATATCATCAAGACCTACTCTGGAAGTCCCTAGAGGTGTTACTAGACAGATATGTGAACACTGCTTTTATGTTTGAAAAGGCATATTGCTGAGCCTGCATGGACAGAGTATAAACACCAGAACCACTATTAAGTGGTCGGGGTTTTGGTGACTATAGTGTCCCTTGAAACTATATTTGGTTTTCCAATGGAATTTAAGGGGTTTTATAAGACTTTGCAGCCCTGATCTATTTCCTTTTTTTTTTATAACAGGGATCGACGCTGGAGATATCACTCCTGTGAAAAAAACTAGCTACAATGCTGAGAAATCACCATGCTGATTTGATAACTATCTGCTTGAAATCTACATCGTAATGTGACATTTGTAAAAACAAACCCCTATCATTAACATAAATATAAAAGACTATTCATCTGGCAATCAAATGCTGTTTAGAAAATACCTTTTATGCATATGTGCTTAGGTTTTATTAATGGTAAATACAACATCATCACTTTTAACAGGTCAGATACGTTATGATACTAATGAAAAGTTTAAGAAATGGGCATACAAAGCAAAACTGAAACATAAAATCAGTGATACAACAGTTAATGAGAAACTTTTGTGTATAAAAATAGAATAGTTACTATCACTAATTATTTCCACAGAATCCAAAATATCTTCAGAATAAAAAAAAGAGAAAAAAAATATGTATATATATATATATATATATATATATATATATATATATATTTTTTTTTTAAATTGGGAATTAACCACAATGTAAGTCAACAACACATTACATGGAACAGATAACAGTATAATAAATAAACTGACTCAGGTCAGCTATATAAAGACATTCAGTGGAATTTGGAATATGGTTAGTTCTACAATACAACAACATGACCAACATGGTGATGATACATTACCTCCAAACCCAGTAGTCACAATTTGTACAACCAAAAATCTCTGGAAACCTTTAGCTAAATCAAATAAAAATTGCCCACACACCACATGCATGGTTAACTGAGATAAAGAAGACATATAGAATTGATAATTGCAAAACATTTCCATTCTTTCCTCCATCAAAATAGTTTAAATCATAAAACAAATGAAACAATAACAGGCCTACTTTTGAGAATTGTAGCACCATATACATGGTCTATGTAATATCTTACAGTTGTGGCCTCCAGTGTATTGGAAAGACATGTCTAAATTTTCATAATAAATTCTACAACATGAACGTGGTATCCAATATAAATGGGTTTACCTCAGTTTCTAAACATGTTAGCGTGAATCATGATGGTGGTGCTACATTTAAACCAGACAGATGAAAGGGTTGCCTTTCTCATTCACAGAGAGAGTTTCTTTGAGGTGTTAGTGAGTGCTTCACATAGGGAAGAGGTGTATTCAATGATTTGCCAGTGCAGCACAACAACTACATCCCTTCCACCCTACATCCAAGTTCTTCTTCATGAGTAGTATTGGATTGGCTGGGGGATCATCACTAATGGGTATCCAAAAGATGTAACACAAGATTCATATCCCATAATATAGAATATCTCAGTTTGGGTCAACTTAGCCTTGTTCCCTTAAGGAGGCAACAAAAGAGTTGGTATTTGCCAGAAGAAACAGCATCAAGACCAATGTGTCCAGCAGATATTGTGTGTCGGTAAAGATTTGACTGTACAATGTACGCGATCTCAGCTAAACGGAGGCACAGCCCCCATTATATCAGAATGGTATATAAGGAAATGTCTTCAATACTTAACCAAAGATGATTGTAGGAACCGCACTCAATCCCAGCAGCCACCAGTGCTCTGGAACAGGACCAGCAATCCCAACACGTCAAGGCAACAAAGGAATTTCCAGGCACTCAAAGTGTTAAAGCCGCAGACAGATTTTAATGGAACAAAAAAAAGCAGCAACTTTTGACCTTCACAGAGGTCTTTTTGAAAGAGGTCTTTTTTTCCTTACAGCAACTGGCACACCAGTCACGCATGGCACAGCTATCAAAGAATTGATGGATGCCTTACTGCTCCCTGAAGAAGTGGCCATACTGAAGGTGAAGGCCCACGGAAGATTGAATTCAGAAGAAGCACATGGCAACTACTTAGCTGACCAGGCCGCCAACGTTTTTTGGCAGTTTGTTTTGTATTGATTGGTCAATGTCGTGGTGAAGTTGATTCCTAAAAATTTGAGATGGTAATTTCTCCAGTCATAGTTGAATGATCTGCAAAGGTGTTCTAGTTTGTCTGTGGGGATGTGAATGCCCATGGCCTGTGTTTTGGTGATGTTGAGTTTGTAATGGAAGCACTTACTGTATTGGGAGAGGGTGTCATGGAAGTTTGGCAGTGAGATATGCAGTTGCTCTAATGTTAGGAGTATGTCATCCGCAAATAGTGAGATTTTGTACTACCTGCCGTGACATGCGATGCCGTGGATGTTCGGGTTATCCCTTATGAGTTGCGTGAGCAGTTCCAGAGATCAAATGTACAGTAGGGACGACAGGGGGCAGCCCAGCCATTAGTGACTTTTGCTGACGGTGTGGAGTATAACGCCCCAACTGGCTTCAGGAAGGTAGCTGGAAAGCCGAATTTGGTTAGGACCGCGCGGTGGAATGGCCAGTGCAACCTATCAAAAGCTTTTTCCGCGACAAGGGAGAGCAGCACACATTGGGCCCTCCCTCCGCGCATCCCCCCCAACAGGTCTAGGATTTTAGGGGTGCCATCCACCCCCTGTCTGCCGTTGACAAACCCTGCCTGGTCTTCATGTATCAGGGATGGGATTATTGGTGCTAGTCTATTGGAAAAAATCTTTGCTATCAATTTGACATCTGTGTTAAGGAGGGAGATTGGTCTTGGGTTTTGGCATTTGTTGGGGGGCTTTCCCGGTTTTGGCAGAGTGGCCACATGTGCCATCAGCATTTCTGAGGGCACCTGGCCCGTCATTAGGATATGGCTGAACGCTTTTTCTAAATGTGGGGCGAAGGAACCGTCAAATCTTTTATAGTATGTGTTTGTAAGATCATCTGGTCCTGGGGATTTGCGTTGAGAGAGTGTATAGTTCTTGCAATGTGACCTGTGCTTGTAGTGTTGCTTTTTGCTGGTCGGTCAGTGTAGGTAACGAGGAGAGCTGGAGGAATTCCTGGATATTTGATTTGCATTTGGGCTATAGAAACTGACTATTACATATGGCAAGTCATTAATAAGACATTGTAATACAATGTTTCTCCCTTGTCTATCTTTTTTGATGTGGAGATGTGGAGATGGGGGTTGGATGCGTGAGTGGCATCTCTAGCAGTGTGGCCACTAGGCTCTCATGTTTAGGTTACTGAGATCTCAGAGCGATAATGTATGGGTATACGTTCATAGGTAATTTAGGTCATAGCCATGTTGATAGTGATAGCAGTTGTTCATTACCGATTATCTAAATCATATTGGAGTGATTTACATTCTGGCTAGGGTTAATTAAGAGTCCACCTGGTGTAAAATGCCGTGGCTTTACCTAAGTTATGACCAAGCCTTGTGAGCATTTGAGGGTCTATGTAGGTGTATATGGTTCCTGTGACAGCCCCGGTATTCCATTAAGTTGACAGGTGGGATGGAACACTTGGTGGGCAGCGGCTCCGGTAACTGACGCAGTGATAAGCGTTCCATGGGTGGTACGAGAGCAGCTGGCCAGCAGCATTAACTGAGTGGGAGCTTAGGGAGCCTAAACAGTGCAGCTATACCCCATGCCTATGGTTGCGAGGGTTTGTATGTTTTATGCCTTAGTCGGCTTGTTAGATATCCATATTTGCAGGCTTTAGTATGGGCAGGTCTACCTAGGGATAATCTGGTGATTATATGGGCCACCCGGCATCACACAGGTCACCCCTAATGAAACCTCTGTGTTAGGGTATAGTGGGGATCAGCGAGCACGGGTGATTTGCCCGCGTTTGCGAAGCTTAAGCAGTAAGCAGTGGTCTAAGTCTTACCACAACATTTTAGGTTAGCTTTGTGGAGTGGGTTGCGAGCTCCATATGAGCTGAACAGCCGTTTGCGGCTGCACCATTGCTTTCTCGAGTATACTCTATCTAATAATATTGGTCATGTTACAACAAATATATCCACAAGACGTCTGATCATAGACATTATTGGTATCTCCAGGACTGACTAATTATTAGATATTAACTCGTTAGTAATGATAACTACAAGGACAACACAAATAGTATATAACAGTTCGGTCTTATGTATACTTGCGATGGATCTCGTAGGTCGATCCGCGCGTTCTGAATTCTTAGCTCGTTTAGGATTTTGCAGAGACTTTACGCCATTCCTGTGTCAGGCATCCCGATGGACCTGCAGAATTTGGCGGGGACCCAGTGAGTAGTTCCCACTCCCAAGGTTGATTGACGCCTTCCTCAGGTGTGTGGATGATTTTCAGTCCTCCATTTTTCGTTATCAGCAATTTGGTGGGGTAGCCCCAGCGATAGCAGATCCCAATTCTCCACAGTTCTTCTGTAATCTAGTGGAATTCTTTTCTTCGCTTGAGGGTCGCTGCTGACAGGTCCCCTAAGATTTTCACCGTCGGTAGTCTTCGTGAGGCTCTGACCAGTTCCTGCTGGCCCGTAGGACAATCTCCTTGAACTAATGAGCCCTTATCAGGACAGCTCTTGGTATCGAGTCAGGTAGGTTCCTTGGTTTAGGAACTCTGTGTCTCGCAGGGACTTCAGGGGCATATGCTCTTAGTAGGCCCCTCACGTAGGCCTGAAGGTCACACCTGCACAAGAGAATAAACCCGAATGTCTAAACGCGTTTCGCCTCACAGGACTTCAAGTAGAAATAGGTATTGGGTAACAAGTCTGACATACAAAGGTATATATAGGGAGCTTATTGCAATTAACTTTTAATATTGGCACCAAAATGACGTCATCATGGAAGGACAGAACAGATATATACATAATACTCTCTAAAACATAAATACATAAGCCACAGTAATAGATAGTATAATAAAAGGATACCTATAACATTTATTATGAAAAAACGAGGATTGCAGTAGTGGTAAAAACTCGTATTAGGTTAGTCACATGATCCCCATGTCAGTATTGGCATCAGGTGAACGCACATACTTTAGGAGAGAGGGCGAGTG